AGTAAAGCCTGCACTTTTATTTTATGAAAGAAATAAGGCTAGTAGAGGGGCTAGTATTTGCTAAGTTGTTGGTAGAATGGATTTGGTTGCTAGACTAGGATAATGTATAAAAGTTTCTCTGAAATTGACACTTGTTTGATGTGATTGCAACATACAAAGGTGATAATGATATGTTAGAAATTTTGTGAGTCCCTGCTATTCAAACCTCTTCCACATGATTACTCTTGTTTTGCTTGAGGACAAGCAACATCTAAATCTGGAGGAGTTGATAGGTCCCATTATTTACCACTTTTAAACCATGTTATAGGCCCCTTTTGGAGTTTTTTATATGTGTCTAGGATGTGAGTTAAAAGTCTTTTCAGGTCCTGATATATTTTGGAGCACTGTAGAGATTTTGAGGCTTTCAGAAGCTCAAAGAGAGAAGAACCATGTAGCTGGTCATATTCAGCTAAATACGAGTTAAAGACAGAGTCTGGCGTGGATCAATGACGCACTCATGCCGTCGATCAACGGTCGACACGCGGAAGCCCAATCCACAAGGCAGACGACTTGAAGCCAAGTCACAGAAATTGCAAGACTGTCCTTTGACAAGTTTTACATAGTTTATATACTCTTTGCCAGTGTTTTATGCAAAGATACAGCTTTCGTACTTTTCATAGCAAACATAGTAGTTTAGGGTTTTTTGGGAGAAAATCAAGAGTCCTTCAATGTATTGGAACCCCACTTTACTATTCTAATCTTATGCAGTGTTTTATGTTTATGACTATGTTCTTCTTAGCTATGTCCCAGTAGTGACATTGTTAGATTTATGGATTATTAATGATTTTGACGGATTAGCCAAACAATAGAATTTCTAGGGTAATTTCGAGAACGTATCATGAATCCATATGTTCATCAATTTAGATCAGCCAAGAAAAGTTTTAATACTAATCCAAATGAAACACTGTATGTGAGAAATGTTAGTAGTCGAGACAAGAACGAAAGACATGATACTCCTACTGCATTTGAGGTTGCTGCACTGATTCCAAGAGATTTCAGTTTATACATGGAAAAAAGATTGTGTTAGAAGAGAATCAAACATGATGACTTAAAAGGATAAGTGAAATCCATCCATCATATCTGGCATTTCAGTACTCTCTCATATTTAGATATGGTGAAGATGGATTAAGATTGAATATTAGAAAGGAACAACTGATGCGACAGTCCAGCATAAGAGGCAGATTATTAGTATGAGACAGTGGTAGGCTTTTCGCCTTCATGAAAGAGAGAATGAGTGCCATACTCTTCTACATTCTAATAGTGAAGTTCTTACAGACCAATCTGCATTCTTACATACCAATCAGCAGCAATGGCGAATGCAATAGTGAAGTTGTTTCAACAAACAAAACATAGGTTATGTGTCTAACATATTTATCAAAATGCTGCAAAGCATTTGAGTTGTGTATTTCACGGACCAGACCAGTTTTCCATGGATTTCGGAAAGTGTGTATATGACCATGAGGTAGAAGAAGATTAATTATTGGCGTGGAGTGATATGCTCAATAAGCATAAATTGACACATAATAAATGATTGAAGAATGTTTGATTTGAAGGAAAAATGGACAATGATATATGGCCGTCATACTTTTACAGCCGATACGGTGAGCACACATCGTAGGAAAGTATGAATAGTATTTTGAAAATATATTTGAAGCGCAGTTTTAACTTGTTGAATTTCTTTAAACACTATGAGAGAGTGTTGGATGACAGGCGACATATAGAATTAGTTTCTGACTTTGGTATGATGCATGCTTTGCCGGTATTAGTTGATGTTGCATCATACATAAGAAGTGTATGCACCAGAAGTGTTTATCTTGTTCCAAAAGGGATACACAGTCATCGTTGATTATGTTTCAAAAAAGATCAGTAAGTCTGACATGGTGTATGAATACAATGTATCTTATTGTGGTGTTGCACAAGCGCATTTGGTTAAGTATGATGCTGCAAACCAAACGATACATTGTAGTTGCATGAAGTTTTCATATGCTGGAATTTTATGCCGTCATGGATTGAAAGTGTTGGATAAGAAGAATGTTAGAAGAATTGCACATACTTAAATTCTGAATCGATAGACTAAAGAGGCAAAAGCGTGAATCACATATTATTATCATTCATAGCTTCCTAATGAAGCAGTGAAGCAATCGATTGGAATGAAATATAGTCATATTTGTCGTACTTTCTGTGAGATTGCATATGTTGTTGCTGACCATATAGAATTGATATTGTGTCAGATGAAGATGCGATTTAGTTGCTTAAAAAAAACTGGAGAAATGGAAAAAGGAATTTATGAGAGCTAATAAATGGATGCCTCATAGTTCAGAAGATAAACTTGTGGAAGAAGAAAGACGAGGACGTTCCAAATGTAAGTCGAATTAAAAGAAAAATCTATGTGGGAAACCAAAGAACCAAAAAGACGGATCCCATGGTCAATTTAAACGTGTTCTCAGAAAGTGTACTACATCAAAATCATCAAGTAGTGCTATAGTAAAAAAAGGTTTACCATTTCAGGTATTGATATATATATATATTATTAGTTTTTGGTTCATGTCATTTTTTGATCGAAATGTGAGTAATCAGTATATGTATATACTAATCAGTGAATAAATTAATAAATGCTCCATAAATCAATTTTTACTCCCGATGCCCAGTTATCTTTTACTACCACCGGTCCGATCTTACATAATGAGCCATTTTTCTCTCAAGTACCCTAGGTAAAATTTTCATTATGTCTAGTATTTATAATTTAGTTATATGTCAATATTTAAAAATTTGATAAATGATTTACGAACCAACTTTTACGTCTGGCACCCATGTACCCACCAATCTGACATTACATAGTGGGTCATTTTTCTCGCAATTATTCCAAGTAACTATTTCATTCTATCTGTTATTTATAGTTAAGTTATATGTCATTTAAAAAAAACATAGATATATTTTTAATTTGTAGGACTTCGACAAGAATTATGGCGATTGTTCATATGGTCGCATGTTATTATTGATTTTTGGTATTTTTTGAAAATGATGTTTTGGACAAGCTCGCCATAAAATATAGCATTTCTGACGAATGCATACATGTGGTCATTTTAGAACTTTCCACATATTCCTTAATATTTTATTACATAGTACTCATTTTAACTAATTTTTCACTTACATTACACAACATTGGCCACTACATATTTATAGAGAAAACAGAACACTCTCGATCTTCTCTGTAGCCTTATTTTAACTTATACTTTGGAGTACTAATTTTCATATATAGCACATACTTTTGACTTATACTTTGCTCCTACAACAAGCAAACTCAAAGACTTTTACATACTAAAACAATAGCTCCATTGACTTGTTGCTCTTCTTTTCCCTTTTTTTTTAAATGTTTTTTGCATTCGAAGATTAATCAAAGATGAGATTCCAACACTCCCTCTCAAATCTATGGACTAATCACCAAAGTTCAATGTAGGAGTTTGATCCTTGTTATTAGCAAAACTCACTAATATATTTACTTTTGCAGCTTCCAACTTGTTCTGGATGTTCAACCCTAGAATGTTCACTTTCTTGCTTCCTTCCTTAACTTCATTTGATCTTGTTTAATTTTACCTGAGCATTGAATCTCTTCTTCATGTACTATTTTATATGGTGAGTTTCCTTTGAAATCATGAGACTCCCTCTTGCATGATTCTGAGAAATCTTTTTGTTCACTGATTTTTCTTCCATTTTCTTGGAGTTTTCTCCATATCTAGTTCCAGCTTTCCCTGGGCTTTCTTCACATCTCCTCTAGTTTTTTTCCAACCAGCTGTTGCTCCCTCTCAAGTGTGCTTCTTATTTTCAGTTTGGTGTCTTCTTTGATCACCAACTTTTGATTTTCTGTTCCCTCAACTTTAGCTTCTTTGTTTTTAGTGTTTGAACCTTCTTGGTACTCAAATTATGTCACATATTTATGTTTCTCAAGGTCACGAATCATGTGATTAAAATTTTGATCAACTACCTCAGTCTTTCTCTTTGCTATAACTGAGTTTTTCTGCTCCTTGAGTTCAGCTTCAACCTTTGTCCGAAATTCAACAGGTTAATATCCATCTTCAAACTTCTTCTCAATCCATCTTTTGAATTGGAATATTGACAATCTTTATAATCTTGCTTCAGACGCTCTAGCACACTTAGGAAAATTGCAGTATTTTATTAGGTAATATGTTTGTTTCATGTGAAAGGAGAGAAAAGCAATTTGCTTCAGACGCTCTAGCACACTTAGGAAAATTGCAGTATTTTATTAGGCAATATATTTGTTTCATGTGAAAGGAGAGAAAAACAATTTTAGTTCTTCTTTTTTTTATTAATTTATGTGAGGTGGCACATTAGTATTGACTAATGAACCTATATATTCACTATATGAGATGAACATAAGAAAAAATCATTTTTAAATGGTACTTTAGTTTCAATAGAATAGATAACTCACACCAAAATATGTATATTTGAAATGACTCATTAACTTATTTTAAAGAAAATGAAGTTACTTAACACCCCTTAAATCAGTAAAAACAATAAAATGTATTATAAAACAGTGAAAAATCTACAGCAATTTTGGTAAAAGTTGTTCAATAACATCCCATAAAGAATGGTTCAATGTCCCCATGACCCTTTATTTGTTGTAGATTTTTTTTCTGCCACCGGTTAAAAAAATACCTGGGTCTGCCACTGACTGCCATTTTCTAAAATCTTGATTGGCCATTTTGGAAAAGGCAAAAACCAAGTCAATGCTTTATATTTTTAACAAAGTCAATGCTTTACTTCTACGTTTTAAAAACCCACAGGACGTCGTTGTTTTTTGGTTACTTTACTCAAATAAAAGAATCAAAATTATTTAAACATTATTTAGTTATACACATATAATTAACAGGCCTGCATGTGTTGTTCTATAAATACGAAGACAAAGAAGATGAGAAAGAATTTGAAGGTAGAGAAAAGGGGAAAAAAAAACAGAGGATCAATGTTGATAAAAAGAATAGAGCTCTGTATAGAGATAGTGAAGACAACAATGGATTTTGTGGTGGTGGTGGCTGAGGCCGCGAAAGTCTTCTTGAGGCACGCTCCTCAGGCTCCTCCCGCTCTCCTCCGCCAAGGCCCCTACTATTACTCCGCCTCGATCTCTCGACCTTCCCCCTACATGATTGGCTATCTTCCATGAGATCGTGATTCTTTACAATATTTCTGTAAATTAATTACTTGGTTTATGAAAATTAATGTAAATTATGTACTTTTTTTGTTTCTTTCAACAACATGTATTATATGGATTTAAACCTGGTCAGGGATGTTGCACCAGCTATAACACAAACTACAAACAAGCTATATATCCAAGTTATCTTGTAAATAAATATATATTTTTTTGTAAAAGTAGTTATCTTGTAAATTGCTAAGTTTAATAATGAATCACATTTCTTTTATATTTCACCTCGGTTTCCGAATTGTTTGTGCATGTTTGTTTGCTTTCGCTTGTGGTTTTACTCTTTGATTTCATTCTATGGGTTCTAATGTTCAAATCCCATGTGGAACTAAAAACAAGCGTAAGATCAAATATAAATATTTGTTTTTTTTTGGAAAAGGAGGAATGTATCAGTTCAAGAAAGGGAAATGCCAGAATACTTAATTGGAGGCCTACATCGTTAACTAAACAGGGTAAGTATTTACAAATCACAACAATATACTTAATATATATATATACAGTATACTATATAATTTATCAATAGAATTATATTATACTATATAACATAAATTATAAAATTTATCAATGTAAGATGGGTTTCAATGTGCATATTATTGATAGCATAGAAGCTTATTTATACATGCTATACAAGATCTTTGATAAGATCAAATCTAGAGATAAGTCCTAGAGTTTAGAGATAACAATTACAATAGTTATCTAAGCTAATGGATATACTCTAATATGCCCCCTCAAGATGGACGACTCGAAGATAGGCCAATCTTGACAAATAAGTCATGAAACCGTGACCTCGGAAGTGGTTTTGTAAGAGCATCAGCTAGCTGGTCAGTGGTGCTGATGTGTGATATACGGAGAAACTTGCGTTGCACCAACTCTCGAACGAAATGATAGTCTAAGGCAAGGTGTTTCATGCGTGAGTGGAACACCGGATTTGCAGATAAGTACGTTGCTCCTATGTTGTCGCAATATAGGGTTGGTGTGGTAGGAACAGAGACTCGTAGTTCTCGTAGCAAATGAGTGATCCACAAGACTTCTGCTGCGGCTGCAGTGAGACTCCTATACTCTGCCTCTGTGCTCGACCTAGCCACTCCTTTCATTTTCTGAGAGCTCCAAGAGATTGGTTGTTTGCCTAGATAGACGATATAGGCACCGGTAGACGTGTAGTCATCATGATCTCCTGCCCAGTCTGCGTCTGAATACGCATGAAGTGTGAGTGGAGTATGGCGGGCGAAGAAAAGGCCTTTAGTTGCAGTCCCTGCAAGATACCGGAGAACACGCTTTGCAGCCTCAAGATGAAGTGTCGTAGGGCAGTGCATGAACTGTGAGAGCCTGTTGACAGCAAAGGCTATATCAGGTCGTGTGAGGCAGAGATACTGTAGGCTACCAACTATAGCACGGAAGGGAAGCGGGTCACTGAGAGCAATTCCTCCTTTTTGAGTTAGAACTTGCGTGGAACACATAGGAGTGTTAACCGGTTTGGATCCTGTCATCTTCGTCTTGGTCAGTATATCAGTAATGTATTTGGTTTGTGTTAGGTATAGACCTGAAGGAGTGCGATGAGCCTCCATGCCGAGGAAGTAGGAGAGATCACCGAGGTCCTTGAGAGAGAAGCGTGATGACAGGTACTTGATGAATTTGATAATTTCCAGTGTGTTGTTGCCTGTCACAATTATATCGTCGACGTAGATGAGGATATAGATGAGAAGGCTGCCGGAGCTGAACACGAAGAGTGAGGCATCAGCAAGGGAGTTAACGAATCCGACACCAATTAGGGCATCTCTTAAGGCATTGTACCAAGCACGGGGTGCTTGTTTCAAGCCATATATAGCTTTGCGTAGCCGGCACACATGATCAGGTTTGTCTTTGTCAATGAATCCTGGTGGTTGAGTCATGTACACTTCTTCATCGAGATCCCCTTGGAGAAATGCATTGTTGACATCGAGTTGTTTGAGAGCCCAGTTCTGAGCTACAGCTAGGCCAATAACAAGGCGGATGGAGGCATGCTTTATGACTGGACTGAATGTTTCATGGAAGTCAATGCCTGGTCGTTGGTGGAAGCCTTTCGCGACAAGTCTGGATTTGAACCCTTTGATTGTGCCTTCAGGATTGTATTTGATGCGATGAAGCCATCTGCAGCCTACAATGTTCGTTGCCATCGATCGCGGGACAAGGTCGAATGTTCTGTTTCTGACTATTGCGTTGTACTCATCACTCATTGACAGTCGCCAGCGTTCATCTTTCAGTGTCTGAGCAAGGTTGGTTGGTTCGAGTTCTGCCAGGATGGCAGCCAAGCCGTACTTGCGATTTGGTTTGGTGATGTTATTCTTGGATCTTGTTGTCATCGAATGGGTATTGCTTGACTGAGTAGTTGTTGTTGTAGGTACTGGTGTCGTTGTTGATGGTGAAGTTCCTGAGACCGGAGATAACATTGGCACCGTAGGCTCCGAGGGTACTGCAAAAGACTGACTGAATATAGGAACAAGAGAGGCTGAGTTAAATGAGTTTGAAAGATCAGATGTTTCATATGCAGTGGAATTTTTCATGAGAGATGAGAATGGAAAAATTGACTCATGGAATAAAACATGGCGAGAAATAAAGACTCTAGAGTGAGAGACATCAAGACATATGAAAGCACTTTGAGTGAGAGAGTAACCCAAGAAGACGCAGGGGGTCGAGCGAGGTGTGAACTTGTTGGTACCGTAGGGTCGTATCCAGGGATAGCAAAGGCATCCGAAGCTGCGTAGTTTGCTGTAATTTGGTGTTGTCTGGAACAGAACATGGAAGGGAGATGAATTTGCCAAGACAGGAGTTGTCATGCGGTTGATGAGGTATACTGCAGCTGCAAAGGAGTAACTCCAATATGTTTTTGGGATGCCTGCATGTTGGAGAAGAGTAAGGCATGTCTCCACAATGTGCATGTGCTTTCGCTCGGACACTCCGTTGTGCTCAGGTGTGTGTGGTGGTGACGTGTGGTGAGCAATGCCGTGTTTTGCAAGATACGACCTTAGGCCAACAAACTCGCCCCCATTGTCAGAGTAGAGGGTTGTGATTTTTGATTTGAACCGATTTTCTACGAGCATCTGAAACATTGGAAAGATTTGAGCAACTTGTGATTTTGTTTTCATCGGATACATCCATGTATACCTACTAAAATGATCAATAAAAACCACATAGTATTTATAACCATCAATAGAGTAGATAGGAGATGTCCAAACATCAGAAAATATGATATCAAGTGGACGAGAAGAAGAGAGTGTAGTGTTTGAAAATGGAAGTTTATGTGTTTTATTGCTGAAACAAGAGTTGCAGGGTAAAAATGAAACAGACGAAAGCGGTAAATGAAAACTAGAAATCATATGACCAAGAGTTTGAGAATTCGGGTGGCCTAAACGAGAATGCCATCCCGATCTCGAAGTTTTAACAGAAGAGAAAACCAAAGCATTATTGGAAACAGAGGAAGATTCAGTCGGCCATTCATAGACACCCTTACTGGCCTTGCCGTTGACCAGTGTTTGCCCCGTTCGAAGGTCCTTCACCTGAAATTCATAAGGACACATTTGAACCATCACGTTATTAGTCTTGCAGAGTTTGTTAACAGAGACAAGATTTTTCTTCAAAGATGGAACACAAAGAACATTAGTAAGTGTTAAGGGACGAGAGGAAGAGGAGAGTTTAGTTGAACCAGTGTGAGTGATGGGCAGTCCAGTTCCATTGCCAATCATAACGTCGTCTCCTCCTTGATAAGGTGTGTGCAGAGACAAATTGTTGAGGTCTGAGGCAATGTGATGTGAAGCACCACTGTCCAATAACCATGGTGACGAGGACATGTCTGACATGCTTGCCGTTGTATAGTGAGCTTGGGGATTCCACTGAGGATGCGACATCTGTGGAGGAGTGTGCCATTGTGGCGTCTGCAGTGGTGGTGCTCCTGGTCGGTATTGCGGTTGGTACTGGGAAGAAGGAGAGGCGTACTGTGGACATCGACGAGCACTATGTCCTGAGGTACCACAAATTTGACATTTCCCGAGATAGCCACGACCTCTTCCTTGGTAGCCTCCACGAGTTGGGAATTGTCCTCTGTATTGTGGTCGCTGTGTTTGTTGAGATTGCTGATATTGGCGAGTTTGAGTGGTATTTGCAGTCGCTGGAACAGAGGAACTAGGAACTTCTTCTGTTATTCCAATTGTGTGTTCTCGAATGAGAAGCTTTTCATGGAGTTCCTCAAGAGTGATTGGTACATCACGACCATTCACCATCTCGATTATAGCTTTGTAGTCATCTGTGAGTCCCTCTGTGATGTAGTCTAGTAGATCCTCATGCTCAAGAGCAGCTCCAAGGAGTGCTAACTCATCAGCTTTGGCCATAATCCCTCGCATATAGTCTGCGATAGACTGCGTGCCTTTGTTGCTCTTTTCGAGTGTTTGTTTGAGTTGTTTGACATGTGCTCTTGAAGGTTTCCCATAGGTGTTGTGGAGGAGGCTCCAGATCTCACGGGTTGTAGTTGCTCTAGCAACAACGGGTTGGATGTTGAGAGAGAGAGTACCAAGGATGGAGCTGTACAGGAGACGATCTTGTCGCTTCCATACTACAAGTGATGGATTAGGTGAGACTGTTCCATCGGCATCAGTGATTGTTTCTGCAGGTGTTTGATCTGTGTCTGAGATGAATACGTGGAGTTCATGAGCTTCAAGGAGAGCTTTAACTTGGAGTCGCCATGTGATGAAGTTTGCAGCGGTGAGTTTTGTGATCCCATTCATGTTGAGTGAGATGATTGATGATTTCATGTCTGAGGGGTTGAAAACAAGAGCCATCTCGGCTGAGGCAGTGCCTGAGTTTGTCATTGATTGTGTGACGTGAAAGAGAAGCGGAAGAAAAGAAAAAAAAAAAAAAAGGTCAGAGGTATTTCGGATGCTCTGATACCATGTAAGATGGGTTTCAATGTGCATATTATTGATAGCATAGAAGCTTATTTATACATGCTAGATCTTTGATAAGATCAAATCTAGAGATAGGTCCTAGAGTTTAGAGATAACAATTATAATAGTTATCTAAGCTAATGGATATACTCTAATAATCAATTCTATATTTATTTATTTTATTATTATTTCGTTACAAGTTTTAGATAGTTTAAAAGATCATTATCATGCTTTTGAAGACCTACCATCTTGCTTAAGTGAGTATTTAGAGCATTGTTTGAAATAGA